ATGCATCCATTTTCAATCACATCTCCCTGAAACCACATACAAACAAACAAGAAAAATTCTTAATGCACTATAAACTTTTGTTGAATGAGAGAGCAAAATCAAGATAGAGAGACCGAGATAGAGAGAGAGACTGGTGGTATGCATCTAGTTAGCCCATCAAACAGGCTCAGTTTTCCATTGCCTCTTTGTTATTGTCTTTTAAATTTTTATCTTTTATTAAAAATAGATTTTTTCAGGGGAAGGGAGAGGGAGCTGGAATTGATGCTTGTTTCTATCTTAAATTTAAAAAAAGGAAGAGAAAAAACAGCAAAAAAGAAACAAATAAGAACTCTTTGTTCACTTAAATAAATGGAAGGTCTAATTTTATTGCCACTTATAATAACAGTTTTCAGTAAGACTGAAAAAATGGATTTTTTTCATATACTATTTTCACATGGTTTCTACTCCTTCCAATTCTTCCCCAGTTTCCCTCTTATCGGAATTCACCTGTTTTCTGCCTCACATTAGAAAACTGGCTTCTCCTTTAGAGAGGCTTCTCCTTTCTAATGGAGAAGCCAATGTGAGAGGCACTGTCACCCTGAACTCTTGGGGGAGGATCTAGGCCCTGCCCTGGATGAAATGACAGACTATGGATACCCCATGGAGGACCCCACCCTCACTGTGGAAATGAGGGAATATTGGGGGTTTGTGGGAGGTATTGGGAAGAGGGGAGGGAAAGGGAGAAAGACCTGGGATTCACATATGAAGCAACCTTGATACTAATTTAATTTTAACTTTAAAAATGTTTATAATGTAAAGCTCCATGCACTAATACAGAAAGATTATCATAAGCTTTATATTACTTGATAACTTCACATTTTTAATAAGGAACACATGAGTTTATGACATAATCTGTCTTTAGTTTGTCATTACATTCATGCAAAATGGTTTCCTTAGGTGTTTTATTTCATACAGAATTTTTTTGTGCCCTTCCCATCCCTTTCGAAGTGATAACAAGATCATGAGAACAGATTTCCACTGGAATTCAGGCTATTAACGCTCATCATCATACAAATTATCATTGAAAAATTCTTTGTTACTATTAGTACCTCCTTTTGGTTTTAAACCATCAGGTACATCAAATTCTTATATACTGGTTACTCTACTGGCCACTAAGCACATGAAATTCTTCTTTAGCCAATACAATACTTCTTTATATCTAGGATTCCACATGGCGTGAAGATACAAGGATTGTGAGGAGAGGAACTGAAAGCAGAGTGTTGCCTGCACAGGCTACGAGCATCAAATCTGAACAGATGATGGTTGAATGTGTGATCTCTATAGATTCTCATTCTTGATTGAGTTATTTTTCATTGCTATATTAATATAAAACAACTTTCTGCAAGGTAACATTTGCTATTCATTAAAAATTTATAATTAAAGAAATTATTTTAGCTTCTTCCATTGTACCAGGAATGTGGTGAGGTTACATCTCTGGGGTATTGCATTATTGCTTCAAGTTAAAGTAGAGTTTCATATAGCAAAGAGTCTTTTATCGACAAAAAAGTGACTAAGTAAGGAAGGGTAGAAAAGGAACGAGATGGAGATAATTAAAGGATGGAGGTGTAAAGGAATCATTGTAGGAATGAAAGAAAAATGGAGGAAGAGAGAAGGAAAAACTGAAGTTCTCAATGGTTATAAGTAAGTAAGTTTAGTCATGTTTCACTCCAATGCATAAGCAGAGCCATGTATTTTCTAATGGTCATTTGTGCACACATTCTGGGCTAGAGCTGTTGAGCAGTGTACTATAAATCTACTGGAATCATAATCTTGTAGGGAGGACAGATATGTCCTCTTTATTTAATAATTTTCAGAAAAATTGTGAAGATGTCGCAAAACATGGGGGCAAATAGAAATTGTCACATCTTTGTGTCAAAGGGCATTGCTAGCTCCAGCAAACACTAGATGTTAGCTCAGCAGTCACAGTAGCATGGGGGAGTAGAGGACATGTCAGCCTGAAAGAAAACAAGCAGTAATCAATACTCAAAGGCATACAGTTAACTATAATCATATTGATAAACATATCAATAAATAAGAAAAATAATTTAATACATTTGCATAAGCAATGTTTTAGGTTGGGCTATGCCAGCAGAAATGCAATGCTTAATCCTCAACAGCCATTGCTTGATGGTCTTATTTAGGGACAGGATTCTCAAGCATGAGGTCAGGTAAAGGGAAGTTTGTGGAGATTCATGTATGCTTTGAGCAATAGAAATAATGAACGAGGTCTACTTGAGTATTTTTTCATGTGCATAAATTTGTCTTCCTCCACTGGTTAAGCTACATTATTGAGAGGACATCTTACTGCTCAGGAGATAATACACTCAGGGTAGTAATGAATGTTACTGCCTGGTAGATGTTACAGCTCAAACTACCCAGATGATGGAAGCAGATGCACAGCCAGGGAAGGTATTGAAATTAGATTCAGGTAAACAGTGATGTCACTCTGGATTCTCAGAATTAGTTGTTTATATTTTAAACCTAATTTTTCCTTTTAACTTCTACATGCCAGAATTTGGGATTCAATAAAATTTTATATAGTAGAACATTTTTAATATGTGTTACTTGTTTATGCTATGGAACATATGTTTAATGATGCAAAAATGTGATGCATTGTTTTATGTTGCATTTGTTTAATTCTTTGAAGCTGTGTTACTTTACCTGTCTAAAACACCTTAGTGCTCTAAAAAAGAGTTTAATGAATGAATAGGTTGGTAATAAAGGTTAGTCAAAGGCTGACAGGCAGGCAGATTAAATAGGTGAAATTGGGAGGAGAGAAAGGAGGAGGAAGAAGGAAGAGAAGAGAGGACACCAGGGGCCAGCCACCCAGACACAATGCAAGCCACAATGAAAGAAGCAAAAAAGGTATACAGAAATTGAGAAAGATCAAACACCAGAGGCAAAAGATAGATGGACTTTTTTAATTAGGAAAAGCTTGCTAGAGCCAGGTGGTGGTGGTGCATGCCTTGAATTACACCACGTGGGAGCCAGACACAGGCAGAACTTTTTGAGTCCAAGACAACCTCAAAAGCCAGAGAGAAACACTGTCTCAAAAAACAAGAAAAAACAAAAAAAGGAAAAGAGGAAACAAACTGGCTAGTAAAAAGTCAAGCTAAGGCTAGACATTTGTAAGAAAGAACAATCCTTTGTGTGTGCTTTATTTGGGTGATGGGTGGTATGTCCCCAAAAGAGGCATAGATAAATACTGTAGAGTAATAACAATGAACTACAATTTTATATTTAGAATTCTAGAGAGGAAAGTACTACAATGTAAATGTTCAACAAATAACAGATATATAGGAGTAGTAAAATCAGGTTATGAATATGTCAATGGGTGTGTATCAAAGTAAGCATGATGAGGTTAAGAACAAAGTCTCACACAAGGCAGTTCTCAGTGTCCTGTTACATAACTACTGCCAAGTGGGTGCTCATTGTACAGGTGTGGATCTGATATTGATGCAAACATAGTTTGAAATATAAAAAGTCAAGCAGTATCTCCTAGGAGATTTCCCTTTCCACCACTGTGTATGTGGATGTGAATTAACCAGAGAGAAAGCGTCCTTCACTAAGTGGCTGTGGCACTTGATCCATAACTGCTCTAAGTGTCCTCATTTTAAAAAGTAATGACTGTCCACTAAACAATAAAACGTCTCCATGACAGATATGGGATGCAAATGTATATCATGAGCACAAATTCAGTATACCTTTTACTGTTTTCATGCAATAATCTATCTGAGTAATAACCTTAGAAAAGTATGAAAACAAATCTCTAGGGGAAAAAAGCTAGAAGTATGGATAATCCAGACACAGAATCAGACAAGCAAGGAATACAAAATTTTGAAAGCAGGAAGTGAAACAGTCCAAACAGTCCAAACAGTCATATTGGAAAAAATACTGAAGGGGAAAAAGGACTAAATAATGTCAAGAAATGTCAAAATCTTAGTCTCACTAATGTCGAACATGGGTCATTGTGATGGAAACACCTGACAGAAACAATTTGAGGGAGAAGTGTAGATTGGTCTGGTCTCAGGGTTTCAAGAGAGTTCAGTAAGCACAGAGAGGAAGGCAATGCAGTAAGAGCTGGGGCATGAGACTATGGCTCTTCACTCCATGGAGATCTGAAGTAGAGGTCAATCAGAATATGGGCTGGGATATTGAACTTGAAATGTCAGGAAAATCACATATCCTCCAAAAGTGCTACTTTTCTATAGGAACAAGTGTGATTAGTATATGGAAATTACTTTTGTTGAAGTTTTGTTAAATTTTTTTCTATTAATTACCCTGAGTGAAATGATAGACTCTAGATATCCCCTATGGGGAAGGAATTGGCAATAGGGTGGGGGGTGGGGGGATGGGGGGATGCGGGAGGAGGGGAGGGAGAGGGGGAACTGGGATTGACATGTAAAACAATTTAAAAATAAACAAAAAAACACCAGTGATGGTGAACTTGGAAGGCAGAGGCAGGCAGATCATTGTGAGTTTTAGGCCAGCCTGGTCTACGGAGCAAGTTCCAGGACAGTTAAGGTTACACAGAGAGCCCTGTCTCAAACAAACAAAAAGAAACACCCTCAAACACGTGGTTCTTAACTAGCAGTCAAACGATAAACTTAAGTTGACCCCAGACTCCGCAATGTTCATATCATTTGTGACAGGACATAGGCCCTCCCCCATGTGTATATGCTGAGAGATTAACACTCCATAGGCAATGCGTTCACAAAACGCATTTATGCACTAGGAATAAATACTGGATACACTTCCAGAGGTCATATAGTCTTCCCATGCCTCCCAACTGATACCCACATTCAGGAGGCCTTGCTGGGTTTTATGCTGGTTCCTCAGCTGTCAGACTGGGATCCATTAACTTCCACTTGCTCAGGTCAGCTGTGTCTGTGGGTTTCCCATGCATGGTCTTGCCCTTTCTACAACTGGATTCCAGGAGTTCTGCTCAGTGATTAGCTGTGATTCTCTGCTTCTATATCCATCAGTTACTGGATGAAGGCTCTAGAATGGCATTTAAGATAGCCATCAATCTCATTATAGGGGAAGGACACTTAAGGCAGCCTCTCCTCTACTGCTTAGATTCTTAATTGGGGTCATCCTTGTGAATTTCTGAATATTTCCCTAGTGCCAAATTTCTCTTTAAATCTATAATGGCTCCCATTATTTAGGTATCTCTTTTATTGCTCTCCTTCTCTATTCTTCCCCCAACACAATCTTCCTGATTCCTCATGTTCTCCTCCCCTTTTTCCCTCCTCTTACTCCTAGCTCTATCACAAATTCCCCATGCTCTAAATTTGCTCAGAGGAGTGCCATCTTCACTGCATAATTGTTAAAATGCTTACAATTAGGGTTAGTATTAATACTTAAGAAACACTATTTTGTAAAAGTGGATAATCAAATCTCACTTGAACTAATGTAAAGGTGAGAGTTCATCAGGATGTAGAGAAGAATGATCATGGATAGATCTTATGTAGACACATCTTGAAGTTCTTCATATGTCCCACATTCATTGATCAGTCCAGAGGACATCTGCTTTCTGCTCATGATTTCCCACAAGGAACTCTAATGTTGTTTTCATTAATTGAGATCTGTGAAACAATGTTCCAAGAATTCAAAAATAAATGAAGATATGGGCCTTGGGGAATATTAAAGACTGACGATAGTAAATTATATGATGTATTATCTACTGTTGTAACACCTAGTCACCCAGAGGCTATTCCAAATTTACAGAGGAAAAAACAGCTGCACAGAGCATAACTAAACTAGATGCACTTGCAGTCTCTAAATGCTGAGGGTGAGCATTGCTGTCAGAAGTCATGAAGGTATCTTTTCTTACTTGTGCCTATTAATGAATTAACCAACTGATTTGTGCCTATGAATTAATATTGGCAAAATCCTACAAATGTGACTTAGAGTTTGAGCACTCATAATCTATGTCAACTAGCATTAGCAAAAACTAATTTTGCTTTCTTCCTTTGTGCTGCATATGCAATCAGTCTTTCCAACCCACAGATGCATAACAATTCAAACAAGCAACAGGTAGAGTTGGAGCAAAAGTATTATTGCATAATTGAATTCTCATTTGAAGAAATCATTCAGACAATAAGTACTGTTATTCCCTTTGTGGTGTGTTAATTCATTAATTCTAATTGTATGATCTCCCATTATACAAATTGTTTTAAAAGAGGAAATACACTAAAAAGAGTGAGTTATGAATACCTGAATTGTGACAAACTTTCACAATAATAACACAATTAAAATTTAAATTGAAGCAATATAAAATGAAAGCACAGATTTATATACCCAGTACAAACTAGCCTAATTTATCTATTTGTAATTCACATGAAGAGGAAAATAACTGGGCTAAAATGTGGCAGCATTATATTCATAACTTATGAATATAAAATACAAAAAGAATTAACTTCTTATTAACTCACTAAAATTTTCATAGGTCATATGACTAATTTAAAAGGAAAAGAACAATTACATATATCCCACATGATGGTAATACTAATAATTCTAAATAATTGATGATTTCCTGAAAGATTTCATGTAGTGAAATATTGCATTATCAGATATTTGCACAGAAATCAAAATTGGTACAGATGATTGTATATCTGGGTGATGTAAATAAATGTTTCTTTCCTTTAGAGATAGATATGGTAATGATGGATTTAAGAATAAATAGTTTACCAAGCAGCTGGTCATCGTGAAGAGGTAACCAGAGGCCACCAGTCATGTTCAAATCCTTTCTGACAATGAGTTTCTACAATTCAATGGAAGGAATCTTTATCAAATTTGAAATCTCATCATGTTCTTAGATGTACTATTATAACTTCTTGACATAAAGTATGTGACCCCTTTTTCTTATTCCTTTTTGTACAGTGTATATAATCTGTAAATGATTTCTAATATGAGAAAATTTTAAAAATTGTGTTTTGTACTTTTCTTTCTCAAGTAATACACTTCAATTGTTCATGCTAATTGCTTCCATATAATCAGTTTTAACGAAGAAAATCATTAGTCAAGGGGTTTTTAGTTACAGGTCTCATTTGAAATGTAGGAGGCTAAAACAAGAAACATAAAAGTATATTTACAACTTAGAATTGTCATCCATGTAGGATACACCTTTGATGAAGTTTCTCTCCTGATTCAAGCAAGCACTCCTCGCTCAAAGCTATACCCTCAATGTACTGTTATGAACTGTAAATACTGTCATATATGAAAACACTTTTAAGAGTATGTTTCTTTTGTGTTGTGGAAATTGAACTAAGGGTTTTTCCAGGATGTTCTAAGAATCACATTTCCCAATTTTTGCATTATTCCAGAAAGATCTTACTCACATGACAGAAACAATCACCTCACCTTGTAAGTAAAATGAATTTTTTGTGTTCTCACATGTAGACTAAGGATGTGTACACAAGAGCTCTTCTCTTGATGTGTCACAATCTTCTGTTATATCCATGCTTTTTCCTAACTGCTAAAACTGCAATAAAAGTAAGTTTACCTGGGCTCTGTCAATAAGCACAGTGTGCCATACATACATACAAGTGAACATACATAAAACAGATACACTACCCTACATTCACTCACATATACACAAAACACACACACACATACACATGCACACACACACACACACACACACATATTCCCACTGAGGTGGGTGTGTGCTGTGATGTACTCATCGCAAATCCATGATTGTCACCCTACTGTTTTGAAAGGTGACATGCCTGCAGTCCTGCAATTGGAGAACAGGAAATGTGGTTAAGGCATGGAAAAGTGTTGGGAAACAACTTACACTTTTTATACCAAAAAAGGGACTTGTATGTCCCAGGTTAGAACACATAGACTTAGGATAACCAGGAGTATCCTGAAATTATCCCCCTGCTTCTGTCTCCCAGGTGCTAAATTTTAACCAAACACCAGCATGGCTGATTTCAGCAGTGTTGAGAAATAACTCCTGGTCCTAGCATTCAAAACAGAAGGACTCCCTCAACTGAGCCGAATCCCCTGTAGTAAGTATCTGATTCAAGATAATGCAAGAAGGCAGATATTTATGAGCCTAGAGGTGAAATCCTGATGTCATTAGAAACAATGTCAAAAGATCTTTCACAAAAAGATAAACATGATATGTACTCACTAACATATGGATTTTAGACATGGATCACAGGAGTGCAAGAGTAGAGTCCCACTGGCAAAGAGTCTGGGAAACAGAACCTTCAACCAATGACTGATGGAAGCAGAGGCAGACAACCACAGCTAAACACTGAGCTGAACTCAAGGAACCCAGTGACAGAGGGAGGACTGACGATCATAGGGGTCATGCCTGGGCTTCTTCAAGCCACAGAAACAACTGACCTGACCAAGGGAGAGTTCTTGAACTCCATACTGATGGCTGGGAATCCAGCATGGGACAGATCCAGACCCCCTGAATGTAGGTGTCAGTGAGGAGGCAAAGGCAATCGATGGGGCTTGGGTAGGAAATCAATATTTATCCCTGGCTTAAAAATCAACTTTGGATGCCCATCACCCGATGAGAGATACTCTCTTAGCCTGGACCCTTGGGGGAGGACCTAGGCCCTGCTCTAGATGAAATGACAGACTATGGATAACCCCCATGGAGGGCCTCACCCTCCCTGGGGAAAGGAGTGCATATTGAGGGATAGGGGAGGGGGGGTTTGGTGGGATGGCATTTAATGGGGTGAGGGAAAAGAGACAGGGACCTGGGATTGACATGTGAAACAACCTTGTTTCCAATTTAAATTTAAAAATAAAAATACATAAAATAGAAATATAATAATAAAAAAAGATCTGGCACCCAAGACATCAACCTAGTTCTCATGGTCCAAGTCAGTGTCTCCCCATGGATCTTTTGTGCCTATTTTCTTGACTCACTTGAGAAATAGTTCCTTATTAAAAGAGTCCAAAATGTTGTCTGTAGCTTTAGAGTCATTATTCCAATCAGATAGCAAAGGTGACCTAATAGGCCTTGAGGGGATGCTCACTTGGCATACATATTCATGGATTTATCAGCCAGATTGGTAAACACTTCCTGCTACTGAACAAGAACTGATGTGTGGGTGTTCCACTATGTCCAGATTCAGAAAAAGATTTTACAATTAGGAAATAGGGAACTGGTTTTCCAGATAATTTATCTTAAAGTATGCAGTATCTTTCAATATCCTAGTATATAAGCATTAACCATATCCCAATTTAGAATTATGTGTTTTTGAACACATCTGCTAGAGAGACCTTGCCCACATCAGCTGAAAACACTGGTTTGACCCATGAGACCACACAATGGGTGCTGTAGTATGCTTATGTGCTTAATAACACCTGCTGCTCTTGCAGGGAAGTAGGAAGTGCACAATTGCTTGACTCCAGATCTAGAACATCTGAAGAGCTCTTGTAACACACAGGCACTAAACTCACGTGTGCAAATCCAGAGACACAGAATTAAAATAACAACAGGGTCTAATTCTAAAAGACTACACAATGAAATTGCATAAATGAACAATGAAATATAAATGTGTATACATGATTTTATAAAGACACTTGAAATGTCATTAGGTCTAAATTTCCTGTTAGGATCAGTAGTATGATGCAAACTCTTTACAAATGCTCATACATATTTATTATGATAGTTATAAATACAGAACCCGGGTTCTACCTCTTGGAATTAGCACACTGATCCTATGATCTCAGACTTTCTTGAATCTGTTTGGCTGTATCCCTGACTCTTAACAAATTTTAGGGGACAGGGTTCTGGTCTTCTCACAATGGTACTAATTTTTATCTGAATTAAACTGAATAGAAAAGGCCAGGCTGATTGAAATAAAGTGCCAGAATCTCTTTGATCTGTGACTGGTCTTTAGCCCTGAGGTCTGATCATGCCAAGTGTATTAACACAATGTTGGAGAAGAAATCACCTCTCTAGGTCCATGAGAACCCTGCTTTTGAATCAATACTCTGGGATGAATATGCTAAATTTACCTGTCTTACTTGACCCTTTCTTTGGCATCCACGTCACCAACTTATGCTTACTAGCTGACAATGATGAAGAACAAATTAACATGTTATAAATCTTGAATAAGCCAATGGAGTCCAAGTTTTGTCAGTTACTTCTGTTCACCATGTTCCTAGGGATGTATGTAGGACACCAGACCTACTAAATACACCCACTGGCACTGAGTCCACCCTAGTCCTTCTTCCCTTCTCCACTCACCAGCCTGAAAATTGCATAGTATTAGTAGATCCAGACATCAGGAAAAGGGGTAGCATTATCATCATTCTCAAACAAAGCAAATGACAATGTGTCAAATATAAGACACTTATATTGACTGCCAACTCCTTCCTAGATTAATAGTTATAACGGATTTCTAGGAAGGTGTGCAATGATACCATACTTCCATGAAGGTGAACAAAGGATGATAAAGATCTTCAAATCTATATACTGGCTGGGGACATCAGCTCATTTTCTTTTTCACAGATACATACACAGAATATAGCTGAGTTAATCCTGATTATGGGGATGGAAGCCCCTCTGGGGACAACATGATATTTCCTTCAATCCAAAAGGTGTCAGTGTGAAAATTCCAGTTCTGAAATGAAAAAAGCCAACATGACACTCAATCAGATATCCCACATGGCTCCTTCCTCACTCCACCGTATACCTTTCTGTCCTCTTTTCCCTTTCTTTTCTTCCTCTCTTTTTCCTCTCCTATAACCTCTCTCCTTCCTCTTTCACTTCTCTGTCCCTTCCCCCTCGTCTCCTACTGTCTCTCCTCTTCTCTGCACAATTCTTTCTCCATCACAAATGATGCAGAAGTCCTCCTTCTCTTCTGAGTGATCACTGTCATTGGTTCTGTTAGAACTTGTTTTCTTTGTCATAGTCCCAATCAACCTTTCACCTGCTCACATATGTCTTCTCTTCCTCTTCCTCTCTTTGACCTCCTTGTCATCCCTCTCCTTCTACTTATCCCATTCTGTATATGTCTCTCTCTGACTTTCTCTCTCCTGATCTCTTTCATCTACATTGATTTAAAGGAACAGGGGAACTCAACAATAGAAATGAGAAAGAAGAAGAATCAAGCAAAAAGTTAGGTCTGTTCAGGCCAAACATTGTGAGGAACAAGTGGTGGTTGTCCCAAAAAGCTGAGATCACTAGATCCCCTCGGACACATTCCAGAATACAAAAATTAGTCCAAGAAAAGAAAGATGATGTATTGCTTACCCAACACTGGTTCTGCTAAAGAATTCAGACTAGTCTGCATGTTTTTATAAGCAAGTAGAGGCCGTTGACATTGAGGGATATCAATGACCATTGATTGATGATTCTTGTTTGTTCTTGATTTATTGGTAGTGAAGTTATTCTGTGTAGTTTCTCCTCCCTTTTTCTTTTGGTGTTATGTAAAGTGGGATTACATATTACCTGTGTCTTTGTGAGTGTAGTTATCTTCCTTGGATCTAAGTTTTCCTTCTAGCACTTTCTGTAGAGCTGAATTCATGGACACATATTGTTTAAAACTGGCTTTGTCACGGAATATTTTGTTTTTGTTTTTTCCATCTATGGTAATTGAGAGCTTTGCTAGATATAGTAGTCTTGGCTGGCATTCTTGTTCCCTTAGCGTTTGTAGGACATCTGTCCAGGATCTTCTGGCTTTCATCGTTTCCATTGAGAAGTCAAGTGTAATTCGGATAGTTCTGCTTTTATATGCTACTTGGCCTTTCTCTTTAGCTGCTCTTAATATTTTCTTTTTATTCTG